ATAGAACAATTTTAAATCTGTACCATCGTTGTTATAACCATTTAATTTCTTCGTAATCGTTTTAAACACTATTAATAGTAAAAACTCGTTTGTCCTCCAAGCTCTTGTGATTTAACATCGCTAGACTACTTTCTGTGGGGTTATGTAGAGTCATTGGTCTATATACGGCTACAAATGTTGGAAAAGTCATCGAAAATTGGACGTCCAGATTGGACTACATCCGATCTTTGTGACTAAAACAAGCAAAATCGGGTGAAAACTTACCCTAGCCCCGATATAACTAATCACAGAATTTTCAAACATCCGGTTTATTTTACTCTATATATGTTGGTGATGGCATGTGAAGTACTTTAATGAAACTCAGGGAGCATTTTACTCTGTTAATAGTATTATGTATTGGCAAAACTAGATAAAGTCGGGTCAATACTACCCCTATACCGAACATAAAATTTTCAAACTTCCGAATGGCCTTATGCCATATAAATTGGTCAATATGTAAGATATCTTAGCAAAATTAACTGACTAATATTGAATATACTATACTCATGGTATAAAATTGGACATCTTGTACTGTAGTTTAATACCGAATATATGTGAATTTAGTCTACGAATTACCAAACTTCCGAATACTACATAGATACATACGAGGTGTGTTTAAAGGAAAAGGTGAATTTTTGATTTTCCGCGGGCTGTGTACATTCAATTTTCGAAATTTTTTTCTTGTTATAGTCGGACAAAAATGCTTATCAAGTGCTTGCATTAGGAGCCAATTTCGATTAGTAGTTTTTTGTTGTTGACAACAGAAAATGTAAGTCACGTTTTTGTGTGCTCTTCAATTTTTAGCTTTTAAAAGAAATGGACTAAAGATATGAATTAAATCTTGCGTTAAAACTGGAATACAGTGCTTCAAGGTACTAGAAATGTTGTTTGTGGCATTTGTTGAGCCCACTTTGTCTCAAAAAAGTGTTTATAAGTGGCACAAGTGCTTTATAAAGGCCCGAGAAGATGTTAATAACGACGTCCACAAGCGAAAAAAACATCGAAAGAGTGAAAAAAAATTGTTCTTGAAAATCGTCGAATCCCTTTTAGGGAAGTTGCAGAGGATGTTCGCATATCAATCGGCTTTTGTCATACAATTTTTTGGGTGTGAAACGTGTGGCAGCGAAGCTTGTTTCGAAATTGCTCAATTTTGAGCAAATGCAATGTAGTATTAGTATCGCTCAGGAGGCCAAAACCAAAACCGTATTCATCCCTTAACCTCCGTATTCACAAGATTTGGCTCCCTGCGACTTTTTTTTATTCGCTAAACTGAAAAAACCAATGAAAGGAAAGCGTTTTGCCACAATTGATGAGATCAAGTCAGAGTCGCAAAAAGAGCTGATGGTCATACCGAAAAGTGCATTTCAGAAGTGCTTCGAGGATTGGAAAAGCGTTGGTAGAAGTGTATTATGTCCGAGAGTTCAATGTGTGAGTTATATATTTATAAAATTGCTTGAAAATATGCTCTCAAGTATACCTCAGCAATGTCAAAATTAACTCAATTAGCACATCCCTTTCTCTGTCCCCAATATAGCCCGTATAATAATTTCCGATTTCCGCCTAACAAAATATGTGACAATTAATAATATTAAATGAGCAAGTTTTCTTAAAAATTGTATGAGAATGTGAATGAAATTGGTCTAGAAATTGGTTCAAACCTTATATCGCTATAATAATGAATTGCGATTTTCCAGTTGATTTTTTCACATCAACTCATTATATTAAATGTAGCTTCCTCAGTTGAGTTTATATTCCATAAGTCTCATTTGAAGATGATTTTAATATAATTTTAGCTGATGCGAAGTAAAATATAGTAATTAAACTATGTGAGTCTATGACTTATAATAAATGTTAACCAAAAAATAAATACCAAATTTAATTGTAACTTATTTACAATTTTGCCGTATAATGAATGTTGAATTGTTTTGGCAAATTTTTCAATATAAAGTTTTCCTAACACCTGAAGGTATTTTCGCTGCTATGATCCTTGCAAGTTGCAAGAGTATAAAATGTTCGGTTACACCCGAGCTTAGCCTTTCGTTACTTGTTAAATATATATATGTTTGTCACGATTTGGTTGGCATAATGCTTTAAGCATTGATAGCACCCAACTCTTTCCAAGTTTAGCAAGTAATTTTTTGTTTACTTATCACTTATCCATTGTCACTTTTGTTGCTGTCCACGCAATCGTTATCTCTATGCTTTCTCTTTACAATTTCTTTTTTGTCACTGTTTAGCTTTCGTCGCTTTTTGTCTGGAGTTACATTAATTGTCTATTGTCAACTGTTTCCCAGTTCCATTATATGCTAAAATGTTCATTTCGTGACCATTTCATTGTGGTTTCTTTTACTTATTGTTGAGCGACCTGGTTATATTATCTTGATTGCCCAAACTGCAAAGTTCAACTGAGCTGTATTAGTCTTACGGTCGTGATTAATAATATAATAAACATATATACCGTATATATACTTGTACCTAAATAAGTGGTTTGAAAATAAAACCGCAGAAATCAGATTGACAGTAACAAAATAAGTTTTATGCTAGAAAAAATAGATTCATGAATGTTTATAGGTATGTGTAACTGTCATTTTGGTTATGGATGACTTATATCGTACCAATAAGTTACAATGTATAACCCAGTCTATATATTATTAGAATAATAATCTTTCTTTTTCGTATTCTTTGGAACAACTTTTCTTTAGAATGGATATTCAATGATATAAGGTATATATATAATATTAAATATTCAAAATGTTTTTGCCGATAACTATTTAATATTGAAGATATATTATATATAACATAGGCACGGGTCTGTTGCTACCTAGGACTACTAAATAATCAGTCCAAAAAGGTAATAAATTGTATTAACAATATCACAATAAAAAGACAAATATGTTAAGTATTCGATACCAGAACGGACCGGCGTTCTAAGCTCTTTTTCTTTTTTTTTGAGATCCTTGCTAGGATCGACCTTTTAACCAAATCTTACTTAACGAAACAGCATCAACGGTTGATGCTTTTAGCTGCACGTTGCATAATTTGCGATTTTTTTGTTGTTTTTTGCAGTGTTTCTCAAACTGTTGGATCAGTACCACTCAAATATAATATATATCTACTGTCGTTTTAGTGCCATTGAGAACAGTTACAAATATAAAAACATGCTAAAATAAAAGCATACTGATGAAGCTACGAAAAGAATTTATTCATTATATATAAGGCTCAATCAATCTGTAGGTTCCATAGGCAGCAAAGTTAATATGCAAAGATTTTAAAATTATTTACAATTTTAATAATGTATTTGGTTACCGTTAGCAAACATAATAGCATTTATACGTCGTGGCATGGATTCAATCAAAGAGCAAAGAATGGAAAGCGGTATTTTTTCCATTTGGCTTAAATTCACTTTCTGAGTTTCCTCAAGGAATCAAATTGACGACCACTGGAATAAACTTGGCGCGAAGGTATCCCCCATAGATTTTCCATTAGGTTTAAGTCGGCGTGTGACATACCATGAAGGATCCTCTTTGAAATTTTCTTGAAGGTCTTGATTTCAGTGGTCGTCGAATATTTTTCGTCACTAAAAACTATTTTTTCCATTTATCTTGCCACAACAAGTTTGCTGGACCCGTCGGATTTAATTGGTGCATAATGTTTACTGGGGAAATATTTTTATTCACTGCCACTGTTTAATTTTCCGCTTCTACCGTTTATTAACCTTTGGCGGACTTCCACTTCTTTTAATTGTTCCATAATTTTCAGGATTTTTCAAAAAGGAACATATATTTTATTTTATTACGATGTAGCTTTTCGGCTATATCTCTAATTGTAGCACCATATTCTCGCATTGTATGGATTTTAGTGCGCTCAACATCTGACAAATGTTGAAATCTATTTTTATAATCTTATATACTTAAAATATTTGAGAAATATTCTGTTGAATTTGCGTGGAAAAATATAAAAAAAGAACAATGGCAAAAATTAATCTGGTTGAATTTCAGTGCCTCTCATAACTCGGTGCTGGATCATGTGACATTACAAAGTTTCAATTTGTTGGTTGTTTTACGTTTTGTTAACACATCCAAGGAATAAACGCAATTTTTTGCGAAAATTTTTGTTAATTTGTTACTGTTAAATAAAAAATAAAAATAGTTATAGAAAATGATCGGTGCAGTAGTTTTGAGGTTATGTGGGTCACCGACTTTGAGAACGTGAGTTGTGGGGAAAACGCTTTAAAATTTTGAAATCTGATGTAAAATGTTCATAAGACAGGTATAAAAATACTCATAAGCTCGCCAATTTTGCTTTAAACAACTTCAAACTAAGACAAAACATTATTAAAATATTATAAATGTAAGAAAAAATTCATTCGGTAAAAAATTGAAAAACCCTACTTTCCCCTTAGCCCAAAAAATTTGCACTTGGCATGTATTGGCAAGGCTTGAGTTCACTGTACAGTTGTGGCTAAAAAGGGACTGCAATTGGCAGCTTATTTTGATCTTGGTAAAAGACTTTTACACGACCACTACTCCTATGATTTAAATTTCTCTAAAAGTTCAATCCCTTTCAAATTAATTGTTTTTTTATTTATTATTATTTATATTTAAGAAATTGTATTGACAGTAAAACTAAAATACCATAAAGCCCTAAGCTAAATGTTATCTTTTACAGATAATTGTGTATGTACGCGTGTATTTATATGAATATCTTTGTTTCTTTTTTATATTTCTTTGTAAATGTTACAATATTTTAAGTAATTTATTTATTGTATAGAATTGTTAAGGCTGAGGAAATTAATTCTTAATAGAAGAAATTACTTATAATCAACTATGTATGTAATTCTTTAACTATTGTATTTTTTTTTTAAATGTTTTTAGTTAGTATTAATGTAACTAATATGTAATTATTATATAAATACTTATTTATCAAATAATATTCCCATATTTTTCTGTATTCGCTTTCAGATTTTGGGCGATATCATCACAAAGTGAAACAAAATTTCGTTGAAAGTGAAAGCAAAAGAGAATTTCTGTAGAAGATAAATATTCTGAAAATTTTATGAACAAGTATTAACAAGGCAACGAAGCATAACAACAAATAATTAACGCAAAAAATATTGTAACAACGGCAAATATTTTAAAATAGTTGCGCGCCGAGGCATACTTTTTGGCGCATCATCGACGTCACAAACACTGAAATGACTCAAATAAAATTCCTTGAGTCGCGCGCAATAAAGTCGGCGAGCTCGACTGCATTTGCACAGCGCAGAATGCCAACGAAGCGCACTAAAGTGGCGAGAAAGATAGTGAGAAGAACAATAATAACACCAATAACAAATACTACCTATACAGTACTGCAGCCAATGCATATAATGCCAATTAAATGGAAAAGTAAAATACCAAAATGTTTTCTGTTAATTATCGCAATTTGTATTAACAGCTTCTGGCCGTGGCTTGGGGAAGGCGAAAATGTTGGTGGTAGTTTACTGCCGCTTGCCTATTGCTCGCACATGACTGTCACAGCTGGTGATGCCATCGGACATACGTTCACCATCGAAATGCGTGGCAAAAATCACTATCACGATAGTGGTGGGGTTGGCGGTGGTAGTAGTAGCAGTTTGGAGAATATGGATTTGGAAAATATTATGAATCTGCACGGCTTTGATAATGAAGGTGGCGCTAGTGGCGTGCCAGAGGAGTCAGAGGAGCGCGATCATATCGCCCATTATTTTGGTAAGTTAGTTTTCCCTACAACGAATATTATGAATGTATTGTAAACGTTAGTACCGCAACTCCCAGGAGCACATTTGTATATAAACATTTATAATTGTGCAAAAGCGTTTTAGCGCATTGTTTAACATTTTAGAGCTATTATATATAATATGTACTTTTCCACGGTTTTCGGTTTCGGTTCACGGTGTCCCCAATTCAGCAATCATATTAGGATATGTTCGGTTTCACATATGTAGTTCTATGTAAAGCCTCAAAACAGAACTCCTATATGCGACTATATAAGTCGACAAAGCGTTTTGAGGCCTATACAAATCTGTTTAGGCACTTAATTTCTATGCCCACCAGCTTAGTGTGATATCTGAGCTCCCAAGTACATATTTAAGCCTTGATCTCGCAAACACTGGACAATTTAGAAGGAGGTTTTTATTGAGGTTTTTCTACAAGTATTTCATCTTCTTTCAAACTGCTTCTACAATAGAGATATAACAATCCTCTACCTTACAGGGTCGACGCCAAATGGCAACGACCTGTTACAAACCCCAAAACTAGGAAGTGGTTATAAGCTTCAGCGGTTTCTACGCACCAACCTCTCCCTCGCATGGTAGAAGAAAGTTTGGTTTGGCGACTCCATGTTCCAAAAATCCGAAGTCAAGTGAAAGCGTGCTAGAATTTCCGAAGTTGCAAACGTATGTTCATTTCGAAGCTCACATTAACTGAGACTAAAGCTTTTATACAGAACGGCATTAAGTGTGGTTTGCAGCAAATAATAAAAAAAAGTAGACTGCGCCTTGTGGAATATGCATTTCGTTGCCATTGTGTAAGTGATGTGTTTAGCCTTTTGTCTGCGCGCGTGCGAAAAATGACAGAGCGGAGGTTGAATAAAATTAAAAGTTTTTTACGCTTTTGTTTTACATATGTTTCACAGCATTTTCAATGCCCTGTAACAGTGGCTAATTGGCTGGTCGCTGCACAATGGCGTTAATGTAATCAAAGTGACCACAGTTACGTATATATAAGTGCTAGCCGGGAGCGTATATATACGGTGTTCCATTTCGAGGTACCCTATTTTTTAAAGAAAACAATAACAGAAAAATCAAATATAATGGGTAATGTTTATTATCTCTTTCAAATGTTGGCCGCGGCCACGTCTCAGATGGTCTATCCGTTGAGTCCAATTTTTGATGACTCGTTCGAGCATTTCGACTGGTAAAGACCGATGATTTCACCGGCCTTCAAACCACACCAAACCGTTGTTTTTTCTGGATGAAATGGTAGCTCTTAAATCTCTTCAGGTTGCTCTTGTCCCAAATGCGGTTCTTGTGCTTGTTTACATACCCATTGAGCCAGAAATGGCCCTCATCGCTAAACAAAATTTGACTACAAAACATCGGATCTTTTTGAAACTTTTCAAGAGCACATAGAGCGAAGCGATGTCGCTTTGAAAGGTCGAGCGGCTTCAGTTTTTGCACAAGCTGTATCTTGTACGCTTTTAATTTAAGATCTCGACATAAAATGCGCCAAGTCGTTTCACACGTCAGTCTGAGTTGCTTCGAACGGCGCCGAATCGACACCCCACGGTCTTCGTGACATTTTCGACTATTGGCCTGCCAGTGCGTGATGCATCTTTAACATCGAAATTGCCGGAACGGAATCGACAAAACTGAAATTGCGCATGATTAGCTATACAATATCCGGACCATAAACGCTATTCACATTTTCAGCCGCCTGGCTTGCGTTTTCGTCCGTATCGAAGAAAAAATGTAAAATATAGCTATTTTTTCTTTGGTGAGCGCTCAAACAAAACTGAATCAACCAATCCCAAAAATATCACAAAAGTTTTTTAGTATGAAATCTCGTCTTTCTAACACCATTCAGCCGAACCCTATATATATATATTGCACATGAGCTTATACTTAGCATTAAACCTGTAAATAAAATTAAATATTAATTATTGAAAAGTATTAAAGTTTAAGATTCAAATATAAAAGTTAAAAACAAATGAAAAATTCTATTTTATATGCTAACAACACTACATCGAAAATTGCTGGTGTACATTTTGGTTTTCAAATAATCACACAAAAGGACAGCTTTTAAACAAGAAGAGCATTCAGAGTTGAATAAATACTTTTTCACATTTACGAGCAGACAAAATGAGTCAACTGTAAACAGCGTGAAGTTTGCTGCGGAGATACGACTTACAGTTGGCGCTGTGCTGACAAAACTAGTAACGCGTTGGCTGAGAAGATTGCGTGGGCAAAGGTCAAGCAACTGCATGAGCATTGCAATGCGTCACAAAAAGTCAAAAGTTTAGTCCGCGCACATGAAGATAAATCTCAGTTTAAAGAAAGTATATTTGAAGTTTTCTCGGAAGTTTTTCTAGCATTTTTTACAAACACTTTTGTTTAGTTCTGATGAATATGCATTTATGAGTGTGCTGGCTAGCTTTTTAGATTAAGTGTTAAATACGTGTTTTGCAAGGTTATAAAATTTTGTGACAGGCTAGTTTAAAAAATGAATTAAATAATTTGTTAATTAAATTTAACCAAAAAAGCACTAATGACTAGCAAAAACTTATTTATTTAAGAGAAGTATCTAAAATTGCATGTTACGTTTGGTATACGTGAATGTGCAGAATTTTTATAGTCAATGTGCGGTAACTATTCTTTCAAAACAGTAAAATATTTCTTTAAATATTTAATGGTATTTAATTATTAGTAAAATATGAAGCGTACAGAAGGAATTTTCAAAACTATACTTATAATTTTCAGATAATCACTGGCGTATCTAAACCATGTGATTTTGATTATTTTAATGTTTGTTAAATCTAATCTAGCTCTATATGACTAATAACTGTAATTAAAAATAAGTAAGAAAGGGCTAAATTTAGATGTAACCGAATATTAAATACACTCGGAACTTGCAAACATCAAAGTCGGAACTTGCAAGCATCAGGTATTGCCAAAACTTTTTATTAAAATAGGGCAAGTATTGTCCTGATTTCAACCATTTTAGGCAAGAGAATAGTTTGTAATTAGAAGTGGTTAAGAGAGTAATCATAATATCAATACTAGACCTCACATATTGCCCGATATTTTCGGAAAAAGTCAGCTACAGGCTTTGGGGTCCACAAATTTGATATCATGATCATGGGCCAAAGATGTATGGTATGTGTATGGTATGTAAAAAAGTCGATTAACTTTTACGTAGTAAATACTTCACTTTATTACAGGTTAAAAATTTAGATTTAAATAATTTAAGTTTGCAGTTGAAATTTTACTATTGAAGTTTTAAACCACTAAAACGACCTCACTCTTAAACATTTTTTTATGCCTGAAATGCATAACCGTTTACATATTGTAAATGGGCAATTTATAGTATATTTATATATATATATATAGCATATATGTATATGTAGACACACAAGTGTTAAATACAAATTAACATATAATATATATGTATTTGTTAGTGAGTATTCGAAGAACGGAAAAAGAAAAAGTGTCAGAATTTGGAAACTATCTACACCTCTCGTATTCGTATCTATATTTAAATACTATACTAGTATGCATACTTGTATAAAAAAATTTGTGTTTTAGCTACAATGAATATATTAATATATTTAAGTGCAGCGCATATGTCGAGAGTAGGTGCATAAATTTCAACTATAGGCGAAATTTATTTAAAACTCGATCTGTGAAACTACTAAAATGGAATATGCTAACAGAGACGAATTGCATTTGTAGGAGTAATCACCACCAGATTTATACATATTAGTGCACAAAATGTACTTTTATTTGTGAAGCAGTATAACTAGAAACATATATTTGAACATACATATATATAAATTTATGGAGTGGAATACATATCTTTCGATCGCTGTGTAAGAGTTAAATTAAACACTAAACATAAGCGTATGCTACAAGTCCTAGAAACACCGCGAAATATATATTTATAAATAGCATTTATATAATTCGATTATACATTTACATTAACTACTTTGGCTTAAAACCCACTATTTCGGCCGTATGTACGAACGAGTGCTATAAATTCTCTTGGCAGAAAAGTTGCGAAATTGCATATGAGATTATGTTTGATAGAGCAGAAGAAGGATTAGAAATTAACATGCAGTACAGTTTGCTTAATAATGTGTATTTCTATATATTTTCTTTACGAACGGTTTTGCCTCCAATTAATAAGGTTTATTTAAGGGTTTTTTCGTTCAAGCGTACTTTGAGTGCGAACGAAATATTTGTGTATGTTATAACAGAAAATTAAATATAAGTTGTACTCTGGAGCATCCAAAGTACCAAAGAGTATTAAGTTGTGTACTTTTATAGTTGCAAGTTAGGTATAGCACCAAAGAAACAAGTCGTTATAGCCAATCTTTGAGTATTATTAACTCACAGATGCCCCTCAATACTGTGATCTCTAGAATATTATTACAGTTTTATAGTTAATTGTGTAGCTTCCTTTTGGCACTTTACAGGTTTTTGATTAACAATATTTTGTTGGGGCATTATTGGTTCGCTTACGACCATCTGTAACTTCAATCTTCTCATGGTGTCAAGAAATATGTGTACTAAGTTTCATCAAGATTTCTATTTTACTCGATCTATCGCACGAATGGTCCGACAAACGGATGGATAGTTCAATAATTAAACTGATTTGGTCATCCTGATCTTTTATATACTTATACATATAACTATTTATTAATCTCGATTTAGGTGATACCAACAGCCGTAGGGTGCACAAAAGTATTATTAAGTCAGACTTGGCATGCCTCTAACTACGTATCAAAGTTTTGGTCTTGATTACTGAATAAGTATAAGTATTTGTAGATGAATGTAACTTCAGTAATCATTAATGAGCCTTCTGAAGCGCATAATCCTTCTTGATCAACGTTAAATTTAAAGTGCAAAGTATTATAATAAATTATTAATTTAGTAGTTGAAACCTTATTTATATATATATTACAAGTATATCATAGCCAGGCAAGACCAAACGCACCACTACCTAGAGTGTAGCTATCAAAGTTTAATGTTTACATTAGGGTTTAATTCCAATTGGAAAATCTGCTATTAGGGGATCTTAAAGCATTATTAATATTGACTCAAGAATATTAGTTTTGAATATTGTAACGTGTAATAAGTACTGCAGAGATAATTATCTTAGAAACACACTTATATGTAGACTCAAAATATATGAAATCTGTTTCTTCGTTGCACATAAGCGATAAAAATTTATAAAATATATCAACTAACTTTTTTTAAGGAATTACTATGTCAATAGCTGGGTACTTTCGTGTACAAAAGTCATCACTACTGCATAAAATATCATTTGTGGAAGTCAACCTGTTGTTATACTAAAATTTTTAACTGCAACCAAATTTTCTGGCATAATCGCATATCAGTTTAAGTGCAATTTTGCCATAATTTTCAGTTAGTGCCGTCATTTCATTTGCAGCCACACCATATTGTGTGTAAACCATACTCGGCGCATATACTTGTAGTTGCTTTACTCCTCAAATTCTGGCAACACTTCACGTTGTATTTTTAACTGCAGAAGGAGCTGTTCAATTTATGGTAAAACCGAGAGTGTACTTAAACGCCTTAGAGTATGCCATGGTTTGCTAGCATTCGTCTATGTGACATAAAAACAATACGTGAAGCATTTGATTATTTGAATGCGACTGAAGTTGGCTATGTGTAGAGCAGGTATAGTGTCAAATCAAGTTTACCTATTGCCTGCCTCAACTGCCAAACAATAAAAGTAACGAATGAAAATAAAGCAACGATGATACTAAAAGCATCAGTCTTTAGCAATACGAAAGGTTGGAATGGTGAATAAGCTTTACTTGGTTGTGCATGGTAAATTTGGTTTCTTTGTTTTCCATAACCCAGCAGGTTGGATGTAGTGTTTAACATACAACAGCTATGAGTTAAATGTGGCCAATGGAACATGAAAATTCCGCAAATATGTACTTGTGCAAAGTCCTTTACGTTTTCCACGTGCTTCCCTAAAAACTTGGAAGTTTAAAAGCTAGAAAAAAAAATCCTGCGCAATGTTTTTTTGAAGCTGAAATCAGTTTTATTGAATCGATCCGAGCTTCTTTTGGTGTCTTAATTATATTCTCTTAACATTAATCTGCCAGACTAAATAGGTCTATGGAAAAGTTTTACATTTAAAACTGTAAGCCTATGGGAGTTTTGATATGTAGTAATCCTATAACTCGGGGTGCCCTGTCTAATCTGCAGACATTCACACCACAATAATTTGTATATCTTTAGCAATAAGCTATAAAATATTCTAAGCAATATGTAATATACAAGTATAGTAAGAAATATAATACATACCTCCTCTTTATATAGTTAGCTAATCATTTTAATAAATTTATATAAACACAATAGAAATTATGTACTCAAAATCTCAATCGCTTAACACAAAATCCTGCCTGTGACTCATAAAATTCCAAGATCAATTACACTCAGTTCTTACATAAACACTTGTTGCGCCTTGATATTTCATTGAGAGTGATAGTCATAGCTAAAGAGTGTGAATACACTACATATATAGTGTACTGTATGGATATGTTCGGGTGATCCAAGTAGATGTATATTTTTCAATAGCCTGGTTTGACAGACTACGCGTGAGTCGTGCCAAGTTGTCATGTTATTTTTGTTTAGTATTGTTTGATTTTCATTACGAAAAGATTTACGCCTGTTCAAAGTTTACAAATTACCCAACTTTATTACGAAAATTCACGTTCTGTAAAGAATGTGTATCGCGCACTTCGCTCAACTTATGGTCAATTATTCGGCCTACTGAGCGTACTATTCGCAACAAAATCACCCATCTTGAGACCAGGCACTCATTATTGGATAATATTCGACTGAATAGATCACGTCCAGCACGTAGTGAAGAATATATAGCGGCCACAGCTAAGAGTGTACACGAAGACCGTTGAGAGTCGATTCGGCGGAAATGACAATAAACATTCCACATTAAATTCGAAATTTTATGTGTTTTTTTCTTTTAAAAAGTAGTGAACCTCAAAATGGATCACCCTTTACAAGTACAGAAATGAAAGCGTTTGAAGAAAATAAATTTAATAATTTCTTAAACAGGGACACTACTACCATTAAGAAGGAGATCTGCATAAACTCATAACATCTAAAAAAGTGATTACTTAAAATCGTACCCCATTATCTTGCACAAAAGTGAAATCTACTTATATAAAAATATATGTCTACTATTTTCACTAACTAATTATATTTTATATTTGTTATATATTTTCACACATTGTACGAACATTAATCTGATATCTATGTGCTTGTTACAACCAACATATACATATGTACGTGTTGCACCTCAACTACGCTGTTACCAACTCGGTCTCATCTCCTATTGCATATGTTGTCTTTGCGCAATTTATATCGATATGGTAACGTTTGGTGACACTGTCATTGGTTGTCATGACTTGACTGGTTTCAATTTACTGCTGCTTGCTTGCCATAACTGCCGTAGAGATGAAAAATCATGAAGAGTTGCTCGAGGATATACGGGATGACGCCTCTACGAAACTACTACCTGAGAAAGGTGAGTATGTAATATAATATATAATGAAAAAGAGCAAAACCCACATTTGAAGTTTAAACTATAAAGCTTTAATACTATACAGTCATATGCATTCAAGAGTATGCCTTGTGAAAATTTGTTCGGAGCAAACAAATAATATTTAACCAGATATTTTGCCTCAGAGTGCTCAAAGTACTGATATCGAAATAAATTTTGTTGATGGTATATTCACCAAATGCATCCTTCATCAGCTTCTTGTGTCAAGTTGATATACTTTTAAATAGATTTAAGGCTTCATTTTGTATATGGTTAACTTTGCTTAGTGTCTATTGTATTTTATTTTTATCCGTTAATATACATATACTTAAAAAGTACGCAAATAAGAGCGCCAGTAATTTGTGTACTTGCAAAGCTTTCGAAATGGGTCGTAATATAACCTGTGACAGTATAGCATTTTGTTGCCTCAGAAGCAATTGCGCTGGTAGCTGAATCTGTGGTTGCCTAACATGAGAGCAGACATCCAGTGGGCCGGCAAAAGATATTATGCGGTAGATTATGTATAGCATTCGTTTGGCGCATATACTTTGATACTTAACGTGCATATACACACATATCTAAAGCTTATTAGGAAGGTTCCTATAAATCTGTCTGATAAGGAGGACCTGGCACCAAGTGATTACTACTTGTTTCGGTCTATAAAGAATGCTTTTTTCAAAAATGATTTTCAGAAGAACGTTGTGAGTAATGAATTTTTTTTGGTGGATAAAAGATTCATTTTCACTACACCTAATATTATTATTATAAATCGAAATACGCATTCTAAAGTTTGACGTACATTAATTTTCTATGAAGCTTTAAACTCACATGTCATATCACATATAGAGCTTGTTGATGTCTGTTTAAAAATATTATATTTATATAAATAAATTTGCAGTGGAAAGCAGCACATATTTTATACCTCTTTTATGCCCATAAAAAAAATTACAATTTATTAGGTGAATTTTATTATATTTATTCTATATCGAGCTTCCTACCAAGCCATAAAACATTACACAACAAAATCTTGGAGAGAAAACAACAACAATACAAACTTCCATAGAAGAAATGATAACACAGTGTTTATTAACATTCACACGCCGTCTGACTTGTGGCTAAGTAAATAAAATGCGACATATAAGTGTATGTTTATATGTATACATACAGGCTTAGACATTCAGCAAATACCTATAGAACCACATAAGTAAAAAAAAACATATGTTTTCACTTGAAATATGCACATATTGATAAATAAGTACCTATACTCGTATGACTTAACACGTCTACTTATTAACTTTGGAATATATACATATGTTTGTGCACGTATCAGCAATTGTTAGCTTGACGTCATAGCTAAAACAACAAAGCAGAAGAATATGATAAAGCATATAAACTTGACGGAAGCTCGAATAGCTTTGATGTTGTCAGTAATTTTCTTGTTAACGATGACAATAGCAACACGTATTAGGGTGGGAAAGTCTCATGCGCTTCAAAGTCATCGCTTGAATAAGTTCGAGCTCATGTTAAACAACATAATGTGATAACTCAAGCAAAAATTAGCAACAAATGAGTAAACAAGTACGTTCAGCATATTTTAGCTTTGGTAGAATTTTCAGATATCAATACTTATCAGCGATTTAATATAATTTTTCTAATATAGAAATATGTAAATAGAAAAGCTTTTATTAAGTTCTTTAAACATCAATTAATAAGCATTGGTTAGATTTAAAAATACTTTACTTTATTTTATATACAGTTAAGTAATCTAATGTTATTTAAAATGAATTTATAAAGATAGACCAAGTGGTTTTAGTTTGCTTGACCATGTTAAGATATTATGAAGAAATAGGTTTGTATCACAATTCTTATAAAGTAGTCATTTAGTTTCCAGTCTCCAATCTCTCGAATGACGATATTGTGTGCCTTATGTATGACTATTAAGCTTATCACCATTTCTAAGGATATTATACAGAGATTTAGCGTATATTATTATGACGCTTGTTGTATAACGCACTAATTAACCTAAAATACTTCATGGCGATTTGCTACCTTCAAGACGAATAAATGTTACTTAATAAGAGAAAAATCTTAATTTTTTTTTATCGATAAGTTGTATATTATATAATAGTTCGACCTGAACATTACAATTATAGCATTACCTTAGGAAATACTCTATGCTAAATTTGTAGATGTCTTGTAAAATAAGACGTTTTCTATTAGGCTAGTATGCGTATATACATATAGATAGACGAATGTCGCTAAATCGACTTAGCTCGTCACGCTGATCATTTCGATACAGTGCATACTTTATAGGGTCTCCGATGTTCTTCTGGTTCTTCTGGGTGGTAAAAACATCGTGGCAAACTAAATATACCACTCCTCATATGTATAAGCGTATATGCTCATATGTGTGTATTTACCAGTAAATCGTATACAAATTACTGCATTTAATCTTATCGCATGGCTTAACGCCTTTGTAAATCGCTTTTCACTTTTGTACTCAACTCTTCCACCTCCAGCATCGCTTTTAAAAAAAATCTCGCAGCACTGAGTGCATAAGCTTTTCGTTTGCATTTGTGTACATTTGTTGGAGAGTGTTTATCTGTTTGTGTGCTATTGCTTATGCGTGCACGTAGTTTATCATATATACTCATATTTCTGAGGTGATTCCACCGCGTGAGAGTACAAAAGCATATGAAAGTGTATGAAAATATCGCTGTTTACAGGAGTGAAATGGTAATCCGCAAAACAGAGTACTTTTGTTTGGTGAAACCTCATATTACTTCACATATTCGATTTTCTTCCATTTGGCACTATAGTTTTGTCAAAGACTTTACATAAAACATTCATCAAGCAAGATAGTGTTCAAAATATATAAATATACTTTATAAGTGCATTCTTAGCAATTTATTATGGGGCTAAGGGAAATATTGACCCAATTTAATCCATTTTTGACATACAGACATATCCATCAGGATATTATCAGGAAAGAACTCTCTCCGAATTTCAATTATATATTTCATACATTGACCGATTGTTTCGGTAAAAAGTTAGTCATAGGCTCTGGTGGGACAACTTGAATAGTTACGAAGGCGTGGTTGCATTCCGATTTTGTCCATTGTCGCACTGTAACAAGATAATTTCAAAATAGTTCTATGCACAAAATCTTATGGAAATCAGAGGATTAGTTTCAGAGATATGTGGGCGATGTTACGCCCATCATCCATGTTTACACCGATTCCTATAAAGCTCTCCTGCGCCATCGTGGATGTAAATTTTATTGTCTCTGGGCAGTTAGCTATTGATATGCATATATGATAGCATTGTTAGACGTTGTTATATGGGAAAAGTGCGTTATTATCATCCCAATGCACCTATTTTCACGCTGTGGCAAGAGGAGTCGAATTAATTTGTTATGTGGAAATGTGGGTGATACAGCTTGAATGGCTTGGGAGATATATACTTTAAACTCAAAAAATTAGGTTTATGTATCTTAATTTGCCGCTTAGTTTTATAGCTTTACAACTAATAGCTTTTTGTAGACGTGGCAGTATTCCGACTACGCTCATCTACGAACTTGTCCTCCTGATTCGACCAAGGAACACGTGTACACAGTTTCATGATGATATCTCAATTTTTACTCAAATTACAGCTTGCATAGACAGACGGACGGACATCTGGATTTCGAATCGTCTCGTCACCGTTAAGTTAACAAAACTATAATACTCTGTAGCAACATGCTGCAAGTGTATAAAAATTGGGTTAATAATTCTTATACATAATTAGCCAAGCTCCATAGGCTTATAGTTGCGCTTATAACTTATATTTCCTCCTTATTTTCTCTGTGGCATTCATAGCCCTTTATCACTCAAGGTTATGAAGTAGAAAACTAAGAAGGTATTAAATATGTACGTATACTTGGTTGGAAGTTAAATTTAATTTAAATAGTGAGTAAATATGATTGGTTTACAATCAGCTATTTCCCAAACTAAAATCGAATAAAAATCTTTAAAGAACGCTTTGATTTGATTTAGCTTCAAAAGTTATGCTTACAAATAAGAAATCATTTTACTTTCTCTTCTCCTTACAGATTTACCGAAATTCGGTGAGCCATTACAAAATGTCACAGTATCTGTGGGACGAGAGGCGGTGCTGCAATGTGTTGTTGATAATTTGCAAACCTACAAAGTAAGTAATTAATAAAAGTAAATATGTTTAAATAAAAATTGACGAACAATTATTCAAATGAAGAAACATAAATCAATAATTTTTCATTCAAGGACTATATATAAAAGAGTAAGGTTGTAAAACAAATAACGAATTTATCGGCACGCCTAAAACTATTACAGAAATTATACACTGAAATGCACAATGTTTACCCGCACTCTTCACAAACGACATTCACGCACATTTAAAAGGAACTTGCTGTTAGTTGAGCGCACTCAACCATTTTACAAGTAAATTGCTATATGTCACAACTATTTGTAATCGTTTGTGCACATTTTGGCCCACTGGACACATATTAGCATGTCGATACCTGATTTAACACATGCTTGTTTAAGTATGCTTGAAGTGGTGTCTTGTTTACCTTTCACCTCTTTATATTCTGAACAGGTTATATTAAATTTGCCACGAACTTTGTAACACCCAGAAGGAAACGTCGGATAGCCTATAAAATATATACGTAAATGATCAACATGATGAACTGAGTTGATTTAGCCATGTTCGTCTGTCTGTCCGTCTGTATATACACAAACTAAACTCTGAGTTTTTTAGATATCGATCTTAAATTTGGAATATAGCTATTTCTCATCAAAGAGCTCCTCATTTGTCGGAATAGCCACGGACCACTAGAGCAAATAGCTGCCTTACAAACTGAACAATCGGAATCAAGTTCTTGCATGGAAAACTTTTTCATTTGACAAGATATCTTCATGAAATTTGGAACGGATCGTTTTCTAACGCAATAATGGAATCTCCGCAGAAATTGTTCAGATCGGATCACTATAGCAAAAAGCTGTTAGACAAGCTGAACAATCGGAATCAAGTTCTTCTAAGGAACCTTTTGTATTTGTGAAGGGTATTATAGCTTCGGTGCAACCGAAGTTAACGTTTCTTCTTGTTTTACGTTCATATTTCCCACATATTTCTCAGTATTTTAACGTAACAATATTTATAAGTTCTAATACTTCACCCACGTTTCCTAGAATTTTTCTTCGCCTGACCTATAAAAAGCGAATGACGTTGTCGAAGATTTCCGGTGAATTTATAGTCGACTTTCTGGCGTCATAACAAGTCAGTTTTTCATATTGATTTCTAAATTTATTGAGTACCGATATATACACGTTGTGTGCGTTACTAAATTTCTGTTAACTGTTCATCGAAAGCTGAAAAAGTGGAATATATATTTATAAGGATTACAATAACAGGGAATGTTTTTCCGAAGTGCGTTCTATATGGTTATTTGAATATAAATTCCTAATGAACAATAATTGCAAAAAATACATAATTATGTATTTGTCGCCATTAAAAACGCACTTAAACACCTAAATGCATACATATAGTTTTGACCAAAAATATTCTGTTCCTAAAAGTGTGTGTACAACTTATAATGCCATCGTTATTTTTAACTTCCTAATCGTATTTATATTTAGTGTTGCTTTTATAATTCACACAGCGTTTACTTCATTGTATACTAGTTCCAAAAGTTCTTTCAACTTACACCTTTGACCTCTCGATAATGTCCTCGCCAAAGCACATTTTACATGACATGCATCTAAATGATACATTATATTACTTCTTTATTATGTTCCACCTTTACGCCTAAATGTATGCTACAAAGCTAACTAAATCATTATGACGCCAACAAATTATAATCTTTCTTACTAATATTGCTCTACGCAATGTGTCTGTATGAGTGCAATATACTATTTTCATAACAATTTTGAAAAGATGCGAAGTTTATTTTTCTTCGTATATACTTGTCGTTGGGATTTTTTTAATGCTCTAGCTGCGCAAGAAAGCGTCAAAATAAATGTTTTCCTGAGCAGAAATTGTAAGTTTTCGTTTTAAACGTTTCAGTCGTTTTAAGTGTTGGTAAACTGTTATGCATAGTTGCATACAAGTGTGTGTAAAGGAATATTTGTATATCTTTTTATAAGCTTCCATATGTACAAGCATAATTTTTCTTTAAAAAAAATCCTTTTTTATGCAGTCGCACTGGGTGTACCCCTTAAGCAAACATTAAATTTTACATGACCTATTAATAGAGTATAAATAATACCAAATAAATTATATGTGCGTATGTAAATTGGTAATCATATTCGGGGTATATGTCTATGTTTGCATATGTCTGCTCACGAATTCGACCACCGAAATTAACCCATTCATTAGTCCTTTATGACCATGAGCCTCGAAGCAAGGGCCTCATACTCTACCTTAGTTTATTCACTAAGAGACTTACAACGGCCACAAATAATCAGGCGGATATTAAGATTTATAAATACACCCACATGCTAACTATATATATGTATATAAAAGCAATATATGTATGTGTACATATGCAAATCCAAATAAAGTATATTCCAACAAACAGTCCAACTATTAAACTAAAGGTAAACAAACAATTTTCACATGATTTTCTTTTCTCTTTCCTTTCGCTTTCTTATTGATACTAACATATACACCTTCACACATTCACATGGCTACAACGTCCTGTGGAACGACGTGGAATCTGCAACTCAACTACTGGCACGTCCAATGGATAAATAAACAAACCGACAATACGTGCATCCACCTGCACGCATCAATAAAAATAAACAATCACAAATACGAATAAACAACAATAAACTAATGAACGAACGTACATATGAATGGGGTCGTTTTGCGGCCCAACGTACTATCTGCTAATATGAAAATGAATGGGTTGTGCCAAACGGGTTGACACGTCTCCAAATATGCCTTATCTACACACACAAATACATATCCTCGCGTTCCTATGCGTCATATGACCACTTCGTCTACCGCTTAGATTGCGTGGCTGCGTGTCGACACACAAACAATACTGACGATACAAAGCCACGTGATAACGAAGAACCATCGAATGAGTATAACCCACGCTGAGAAACGTGCTTGGATATTAAGAATTCGTGACATCAAGGAAGCGGACAAAGGTTGGTACATGTGCCAGATTAATACCGATCCGATGAAGAGTCAAGTTGGTTACCTGGATGTTGTGGGTGAGTAAGATGAACATAATAGAGTCAATCTATTTATATATAATATATCACGAGATAAATCTAAAAAATTGAAAAATGGCAATTGGTTATATTATTAATATACTTTACCATAAGTTAGATTTAAGCGACAGGGATATGTATGTATAAGTATCTGTAGCAATGTAGATATTAGGATTTATGTTTATGTACCATTCGTTTACTATACTTATATGATATTTAAAACTCTAATTCCGCCATACGCACGTTTTACTGAATTAATATGATCTTAGATTAGGTCACGCGGCACTCAAGCCACGAATAATTGCACTTGGCCAGCTAGATAGGCTGATGCGCGGTGATGCCTAGACCTCCTTTTGATTAAATGACCTTCCATACAAATCAACTAATTCATCGAGATGCTTCCTAAGTCTAGCAAAAGCTGGAAAGTGGAGGAGAAAGTATATAGATGTCTCCACCTAAACTTACTCCGTGCAACTCTCATAATTTTCGTCCTCTAAAATCTTTAGCTTCACTGCGTGAGCACTTTGCTAAGATCAAATTATTCAATGGATCTCTTATGCTCCACTCTGAGCCAAAAGTATATCACTGCCGCACAGGTGTTGATTGCTAACCAACGCTTATTGAGCTTACACATCCACAGATCCACAGATCTCCTGTTAGGTTGAAAGGGGCCAGTGAAACACCGACGACCGACATTAAAGTAAATTAGTTTCATTTTCTTGCAAGCTCACCAGCTTTAAAGTTGATGATAACTTATTAACTTGATTCTTATGGGGTCAGACACTTCTTGACTAAAGTCGAATGCGCTGTCAGCGAGATGTATTGCCACACTGCTATCAACTGGTAAATTATACTAATATAAGACGTTTAGTTTTTAGAGACAATGGTTTCTTAAGAGTTAGTCTTTTGTGCGGCTGTTACCTCATTTAAACCCAGTTGGGTTTGTCATTTCATAATGAACAGACTTACTTCGGAGCAGCCTTTGCAACTCGTGCGATGAAGCTTACTTTTGGTTGAACGGATACGTTAATAAAAAAAAATTGTCGTATTAGGGTTGCTGATAATGCAAAAGCCAGCGCAAAAAGCAATCAATTTATTGAAGAAAATTTTTGGCGAGTGTATTAGCTCGAGTCGTGCGTTTGTGGCATGGCTCCTAAGACTATTTTTTGTGATGTTATGTGAAGTTGCTTGTCTACGCAGATATGCCCGAGACTATTGACGCCTTGACATACGGCCTTAATTACAAAAAGTGGTCAAATATTAGACCTCTGAGCTAGAATTTATTTTATCCAGATGATTGTCCGAAATCTCTCATCCCAAATCAGGTTTATACATCATGGCAAACCCTTATCTTTACAGTAAAGCTAAATTCTTGGTCATAACTTAAAACTGTGTACGTTTTTCTTCTTCTTGAAAACCATATATCTAAAATAAATACCCTTTATAAAAATTTATTCATAAAGTAACGTCTATACTGATAGTATGTATGTCAATATGGTTACCGACATACTCAGTCCACAATTTAATCAAACAATCACAGACAAAATTTAAAAATTAAAAAAATTTATTGTCTGAATTGCTACACACAGATAAATTACCAACAACTTTACAACTGACGTATTCTTCTGCTGTTTATGTTAACTGTTGTATTTCACTTAACAGATCTTCATAGATTTAAAGTTATTTTGCAAATCTTAAAAAACTATAATTATTCCAAAGTAGATAAGAGTTTCCATGTGCTTTGGCACAGCTTTCTCGCACTATATCACGTGTTACTTAAATTATGAAATTAATTAAGCTTTCAAAAATATTTCTTTGGCAATTGCCATTACATGCTACATTTTAATATCGAGCTTTTTGTATACATATACATAGGCCCCACTCCCACTTACTTACCACTTTCTTACACCTTCCGATGACCTCTATTCCGACAACATCTATTTACACTTGAATGCCAACTTTTCAATTTGTCGACAGTTGTAAACTGATAATAACCTGTTATATTGGACTTTGCTAGTCAGTGGAGCATTTGCTATAGCCGGTACGCAGAGTTTTTAAAATAAGGCTATAACGATAAGTCTTGCTATTCCTAAATTAAAGTTTTAATTGGCATTAGTTGAAATATATAGAAATATGCATCTCTTAACATTCCGATATCGTACCACTATAGTATAAAGCTGTCATACAAACTGAACAATCAACAACATGCCCTTATATGGAAAACTTTTTTATTTGTAATAATAATTATTATTGAGGACAACGCTACAATCCTCGAATATTTTGTTCAGAGCGGGCCACTATAGCATATATTGTAGCTGTTATACAAACTGATCGAATAAAACAAGGTTAAATTATTAATTAAGTAGCTTTTATTGGACTTGAATGTTATTTATATCAACCAATGTGGCTAGAGGAAACTAACAAACCATTTGCCGTTGAATGCAAATTGTTGAATGTTCATGTTGAAAGGTTTAGTTATACATAAAGTTGCTATTACATATGCATCTGTGTTTCGCTGCAGGCGAAATTTCGAATTTTTTCATTTTATTAGTATTTTTTATTGTATCTTCTGTTATTACATGAAAACGTTCACCTTTCAATTACTTTCAAACTAATGAGTAACTAACTAGTAAATGACAAATTACATGCGTTTCAGAAACAACAACAACTATAAACAAACAGTACTTAACACTAATTAAAATTTAATTTGCCCTGCGTGAGTTGGCTGCGGCACCTAACATTTACGCCTTCATATACATACATATACAATTAGCTATAAGTAGTATTATAAACTTTAATGCAGCATAAGCTAAAAGAGCTTTTCATATGAGTATAAGTGCACATAAATGTGTGAAATGCTTATTATATAGTTTTCATGCATAAACTATATATATTATATATATGATTTGTCTAAACTATAGCAGCCCTCCAATTTGTTTTCATAAATTTCAGATTTTCTTTAAATAAAGAAATCAGAAATAAAAACCTTTCATATATACAATATTTTTAGGTTATATATTCACTTAAAATAAAACCACAAATTCAATTTAATTTTCTTCTGTTTTTAGAAGTTTCATCTGAAAGCTTTAATGGTAGGCAAAAGTTCATTGGACAAAACTAAAGCATCCGCTGCGGTAAACTACCTAACTAACTAACAAGATAATTCTTGTTTTGCATCTTCGTTCTAATTCTACACTTTTTGCTATACTTTGCCTTTGTCATAAGTGCCGAAAATGATTTAATAAATTGGTTAACGTCAGGAAAATGAGCTGGATACTTTAAAACACCAGTGAATCGCGTTAATGTGTTCTTTTTAGTTTATTGCAACATTTAGTTTTATGAAATTTATGCATCAATCGACATATCATTTCTATTTTTTTTTTTGTGAACTGACTCGTTCAATTGCTCAGAAAAAAAATTTCACACCGCTAAGTTCACACCACCACAATTCGCAATTTGTATAAAATTTATAATAAAGTCTGCGACATTTCGCTCTTCTTTCAAGTCATATATTGCCTATTGATTCATCGAAGATTAAAACATTTTTGGACCATTCAATCAATGTGGACATTGCTAAATGCTTGCTTGCTACTAAAATTTTTTCTGAACCGAATGGTTACTTGAGAGAGTGAACAAAATAGCTAAAAACAAAAACAACTACCAGTAACTAGCAAATTTAACAATCAAGACAAATGAAAAGTTAGCAACCACTTTTATGCATTTAAAAAATTGCTACAACAAAGAAATTGTAATGAAAATAGCAAAACTTCTTCGGTACTAATAAGTGTATAACAATTAGTGGTAAGCAAATATTGGTAGTTTTACTTTAGTATCGTCGTAGCAGATAAAAAAATAAGTTTTCTGTTGTTTTCCGATAATTTTGCTTTTACCCAGTATATGCTTTCATTTAGCGTATATTTACCGTTGTTGTTAGTAGTTTGCTGATTGGCCTTTCTTTTAACTATACACGTGATATTCATGCAAGTTGTCATATGCATGCTTGTACCACTATTTGCGAAAGTTACGTATACGCCACGCATGTCACGTGCACACCATTAATTTACCGCCAGATTTTTCACGTATTCAACGCAACCATGACGCAAACATGTTCAACTAACTTACCATATGTCTAACCTTATATTGGTTGCAAAACACTTGAAAGCAACAATGTTGTAAGCAGTGGCAATTAGCGCAACGTTTTCTTTCGAAACTATGATACTGTTTCATTGGCCACTGTATACATTTTTTTGTGATGTATGTTCTACTTTGTTTTAATTGGCAATCTGATGATAATATGAACTTTAAGCATAGAACTTAGCTAGAAATATGTTACTTAGTGGGTCTGCTCCTTGTTCGATGAGCATAGTATAGAAAATAGATAGAGATAATTGGTAATGTTGTGGGGTAAAATGTTTTCAATAGGGTTAAACGGTCTTCCTATGATGAAGAGTTCTGTGTAAATTTCAATAGAAATGTTTTTTGGTATTCACTCATATTTTAAAGTTGTAACTATTATACCCATTTTAAATGAAGTAAGGAGGGCCTAAGTTCGAGTGACCCCAAGCGCTACATATAACAACAGAGAATTGGAGTTTTGTCTATCTAACGATTATGTGTAACACTTGAAGCAAATTAATAAACGAAAAGCTTTAAGGTTTCAGGTATATATCTCACAAACTACTAAAGCTATATCAACCATACTCGCTGAGACAGATCCTTGCGTATGAAAATGGGTAAAATCGCATGATAACGAGGCAACTCAAAACTTTAAATTCGTTTTCTTGCAAGCTTTTTTCGAGGCAGTCGACGCGATACCTCAAGTCTAATAAGTCCATTTACTTAAATTTAGAATAACTATTCTCTAAATATCACTCTATCGTATAAATCAGCAAAAACTGAAAATTTGAGTTCTGTTGTTTATGCGTATGTATATGTAGTTGCATATAAATTAAAGCATTGTGACCAGAAAGTTTCCGGAAATTGTCATTTAAACTGCCCGCGCTGAATATTTATCAGCACTTTTTCTTGGTAAGTTGGTAGCAATGTCCTTAATTACTATGCCAAAAATGAGCGCGATCTGTCAACCAATTTGTTTGCAGCAGATTTTTACAATGGAAAAAAGTATTGAACAAAGAATTTGCATCAAATTTTGTGATTCGAACCAAATTTCGTGTGCGGAATCGTTGCGAATGCTAGAAAAGGCTTATGGGGAATCTATTCTATCGAAAAAGTCTACGACTGGTACAAAGCCTTTAAGGATGGTCGATAAACCGTCGAAGGCAAGCCTCGTTCCGGCGTCCTTCGACGTCTCCACTGACAGTAACATCAAAAAAGTGAAGGAATTGCCCGAAAATCATCATGCGAGTGTTAGAGAGATAGCACATAAGCCAAACATCGGTCGTGAAGCAGCTCATTTCATTTTGACTGATAATTTGGGCATGAGACACGTCAATGCTCGGCTTTATTTAAAAGAGCTATATTTTTTTGCAAAAAGATCATCGTGTGCAAGTCTCTTTAGGCATGCTGGATTGTGTCAAGTCTTCATTACACTTTCATGGAATGCATTACAACTGGTCATGAGACATGGGTTTATGAATACGTCATGTAAGCGAACCAACAATCATCGGAATGGAAGGAGAAAGAGGAGCCGAAACCGAAAAAACCACGTTAAAGTTATTCCAGAATCAAGGTGTGATTTATCATGAATTCGTTCCAGCGGGACAGACGGTCAATAAAGAGTATTATTTGAGCATTTTGTGGAGTTTGCGCGAAAACATTCGTGGTAAACGGCCGGAATTGTGGGCCAACAATTCATGGATTTTTCATGACGTTAATGCGCCATCGCACCGAGCTGTAGTTGTGAACGACAATTCGTTCAATATCATGGATCTACCACCGTATTCACCGGATTTGGTCCCATGCAACTTTTTTTTTGTTTTCAAAACTCAAGTTACCACTCCGTGGAACCCGTTTTGACTCGATTGAGGTCGTTAATTATATATATAATATAAAATTCGCAGAGGGAACGGACAGTGCCTACAAGGCATGTCTCGATGATTGGAAAAAGAGGTGGCATATGCGTATCGCTTCAGAAGAAGCATATTTTGAAGGCAACAAAATAAATATTAATGAAGATTATATACTTTTAGATTTATTTACAATTTCCGAAAATTTTCTGCTTTAGTTCAGTTGTTTCCTTTTACCTTTTAAGCCCGAAAAATTTTCCATAAAATACAGCTAATTTTTTGGCTATAAAAACTTAAAACTGGCTTATGTACATACATACATACATGCAAGTAGTTATTTTTTAATTATGAAGGCGAGTACAATGTTAAAAGCTCATCACCTATTTGGAATGAAAAATAACATATTTTTATAGAAAATATTTTCGTAATTTTGGTCTGTAGTATGTACATAAAAAATGATTAAATATGAATAAATTTCTGAAACGTACAATGAAAAATATATGTGTTATTGAGAAACATATATTCGTGGTAAAATATATCCTAAGATAAAACAGTAGATCAGCGGCACTACAATACACCAATGTCGAATATGCCGCATTTGTATACCAAACTTTAGTACTCTTTTGTTTTATGTGCAATATTTACATATTTTTGATTTTGTGTGATTATTTGCAACCACATATGGTAAATAACACTATGAGGCCCAGAAAAATATTTGTTTTATCAAAATATAGCGTAAATGTACGTACATTTTTTTTTTGATTTTCTTGCTTTGAATATTTACATTTAACATACGAGTATAATCTCGTCTATTTAAATTTTTTTTTTAAACGTGTGAATTTCATTCAACCCCTAACTACTACCGTTATTTTTGAGCTTAATGGTTTAATATTAACCTTAAATACAATAAACTAAATTTCAAAACATATTATATAATATTTTCAACTTACTAACAAAATCTGTATTCATTTCATATCTCTTTCTTTTTTGCAATTCTGCAACTTAATATCAACTGTTGGATCTTGTCTGCGTGGAAAATCCGAATGTTATTAAAATGTCCATGTAACCCTACTGCTGACAACTAAATATAATAATAACAAAATAAAAATTACTTTCACTGTCGCTGGTCAACAACAACATCCCAACATGACACGCCAATTTGCCTTTTGGCAAATTTCAACATTTTAACGCCCCTGCTACTGCTACTCACAAATCACGTGCCATGTCAAAATCATCTGCTGCATCATTATTATGTCAACGATGATGACTTCGCTGGACAACAATGACTATGAACATTATGTCACCGGCATGCAACATCAACATTACAATTCTCACTGTTTGGTCCATCGCTGTTTTACTTGTTTCGGTGTTTTTGCGTCATGCGCTCTTCCGACATTTCGCGCAAACAGTGCCACCTGATATTCTCGATTATCCAACCAGCACAGATATGGTGGTACGAGAGGGCGCCAACGTAACACTGAAATGTGCAGCAGTTGGCTCACCAACACCGACCATAACGTGGCGACGCGAAGGTGGCGAACCCATATCGCTGCCTAACAATATGGAAGGTTGGTAAATTATACGTAGCTTTTAATTTTAAAAGTTATTAAAAAAAGTTCTCCACTTCGAGTTACACCTGCAGCCAGTTTGGAAAATTTATTTTGTGAAAAACACGTTTAAAGATAAACTGATTGACAAAATTAACTACTGACCGCTACTTTTCAGAAGGTTGCAAGTTCAAGGTTCAAAAAGTATTTGAAATATTCATTTCAATTTTAGTATGGTAGTTTGTAAGTTATAGACTATCAAAACAGGCAAAAAAAAATTTTATTCGATATTTCACACTAGGTATGCCCTTTAAGTGTAACGAAGTAACTTATACAACATGAACACTGAGAATGTTCTTTCCATAAATTAAGAAATAACAAAAGCAATTCAGTTGAATAAAGCAATCAATCTCAAGCTTAGTAACGTATATATGTACCTTACATATATAAATATTTATATGTATATACTTTTTTAAAACTTTAACTAATGGAATGTTTTTCTTCTATTTTTACAGTAATTGCCTACAACGGTTCCTTCCTGACGATCACTAAGGTACAGCGCCTCAATATGGGAGCATATTTATGCATCGCTTCAAATGGCATACCGCCAACGGTCAGCAAGCGCATCATGCTGGTTGTGCACTGTAAGTATTTCTAATAAATAAACGCAACATAATACAGGATCAAAATTTAAGTTTTGAGATTTAGTATTTCCAAAAAAATTCAAGATAACAAAGTCAAAATTTATCATTTTACGATAATGTGGCTATCAATTTCATCAATGATTTCTCAGGTACTGCCTTCTTTTTTATAATATGAATTACACAAAATAATAAATAGTTTTGGGTTAGTTCAAAATTCTGCAAGTTTTTTGCAAAGGTTTAATTGTGCTTTTGTTTAGAAAGCACTAAACATTTATGTAGCATGAGGTATTTTTTGTTCAGACAGACTTTTAGCAATAATAGGGCTAAAGTAATTACAAAGAATTAAATTCTCAATGACTTACAGGCAAATTTTACTTTTTCCGTGAATTTAAGGAAGATTTATGCTTTAGGGCATTTTCAAAGGTGTTCTAGATTAAGTCTTCCTCCATACACTAGTCGTTTAAAATTTTTAAATCTAGCTACACTCTCTACTTATTTTCAGGTAGATAAAATTTTTTACTCATGCTCATAAATGTATGCTTTGTATATGAAATAACTGACTTAGCATCGCTATCTCTTTCTCGCTCTCTCTTCTCTCAAACAATTTAATTAATTTGCGCTTAAACTTAGTTTGTTTTTTCTTTCTGAAGTTTGTTAGTTGTCTACGTTGTAAAATTAAACAGAGTATAATAAGTTTGCCACGAAGTTTATAACAATCAAAAGAAAACATCGGATACCCTATAAATTATATGTAATAAGCGGCATGACGAGCTGGGTCAATTTAGTCATGTCTGAGTGTCGGCATGTTTGTATATACGTCCCAAGTCCCTGAGTTTTTGAAATATCCACCTGAAGCACGTAATTTTTTCTCCCAGAAACTGCTCACTTTTCGAAACCTTCTATGGTATATTGAACCACTATAGCATATGGCATTCATAAAAACTGAACGATCAAATATTTGTCCTTGTATAGGAAGCTTTTTTTTGACCATACTTGTATATCTTCACGAAACTATAGCATATAGCTGCCATACAAATTGACCGATCAAAATCGAGATAAAGGTCTTTTTATATCTTTATGTACTATAAGAAATGAATCTGTGACCTGTAATATAGATTCAGTACAGTCGAAGTCAACGTTTTTTCATGTTTTTATTTACACTAGCGTTTTAAATTAAATTTGAAAATTTATTTCTCGCCAACAAAAAGCAAAAGTTCACAGGTAACACTTCTTTATTTTGTTGCCGGGAAGTTGTTGCGCAACTCAAATAGTAATAACAAGTATGTGGCAACTTGCCGCCAGCTAAGGGCACGTTGTTGGAAGTTTTATTTATGCATTTAAATTTGCTTGGTCTACTGAACTTTTCAAGGCAACTATGAAAGTGAGCGCAATAATAATGCAACTTATTGCCTATGGACTATTACACAAACGCTAAATGATTTGCTAACAGAAATAATGAAGCCTCAATTAACGTTATGGCAACTAGTAGCCTTTTGCCATAAAGAGTTCTGCCCTAACAGGGACTAAAAGTATGTATACTCACAAACGTAGGATGCTAAAAAAGCAGTTTTAAATGAGAAGTTTTTTGGAACAACAAACTAACTCCTAACTCTTAATAATTGGCGCACCTTATTCTTAGAATCGAGTTTCGGAAAGTAAGAATTGATTTAAAGGCCGAAGCTCAAGTAGTGGATTGCACTTAAACTACTATATACAGTCGATTGATAAGCCTGAAAAAATAACTTCTGTTATCAAATCTTATAAGTTGACAGACCGCCTTGTGGCCAATACATATATACTTAGACGTTTTTATTTTATACTCACCAGCTCACAGGGATATCTGAAAGTGTAAGCTTCTGTCTACATTGTCTTCTTCCAAAGAGAAGAACTTCTACAATTAGGGAAAGGATAGCTTTACTTAGTTTGAAGAGTTGACTAGACCTCTTGTGAACCGCTTTGGGTCAAAATAATCTTGTGACAGCGCTAGAACTAATAGCCCAGCGTTGAGCAAGCGCTTGCGAAGTCTAGCTATGCAGTAGTAGAAATCAGAAAGAGAGAAAGGAGCTTTGAATCTTTTCCGTTCTATTGATAGCTAAGGGTAGGTGCATTTTCTTTTGAGCGCGTCTGATTTTCAGTTACCTGCTGTTACCAGACACCCATACTAGTCTTATTTAGACAGATCTAATTTAGTGAAGTATTTTTTAGTAACTTGATAGTTTATTTCCATGTATTAACATATATTAGTCATATATCTATCTCGTTTGTTCCTTCTTACAGTTCCTCCAATGATTTGGATACAAAATCAGCTTGTTGGTGCTGCCACCGGCCAAAATATAGCACTTGAATGCCAGTCGGAAGCGTATCCGAAGTCTATCAATTATTGGATGAAAAATGACACAATCATGGTGCCGGGTAGGTACAAAAAAAAAAAAATCAAATATAATGCATGAATAACTGCATATATTTTAGACATGTAATATTTATATATGAGTATTACGATAGTAGTATTCCACACGCTGTAAACTTTAAACGCTTCTTTTAATTCAATTTGATTTTCAACTAACATAAACTTAATGAACAAAATTGTGGTTTTATTAAGCTAACTGCTCTTTAAAACTTCTTTAAAATGCAAAATCATTTTCTATAAAATCGAAACCAAGATTATTCAGTATAGAGTGCGCACTTTGCGAGCCGTTGCTTAACATGTGATTTTATAACTCTAAATACTATTGTTGCAAATATATATAGCTGTTATATATTGAAACGGAAAGTGCAACGGACGTTTAATTAAAATTATGTCAGCCATTTTTAACCGCATTCAGACATATGGATAACAACACACTCAAATACATCCACACATATTTAAATTCCAACAGGGATAAGAACCAGCAAAAAGTTACACACAAATGAAAAGAATGAAAAATATAAAATAATTGCGAGTAGAATGAAGAAAAAATAAGGTATAGTAGCATGGATACAGTCTATCTGTAAGCGACGCGATTGTTTTAAATAATCCGCTCGACTCATAAAATCATCAGTTCCGAGCGACTGCACATTGAATTGCTACGAAGAAGTAAAGTCAGAAAATATATATACACGTACAAAGCCACTAAATATACGAGTATGTATATGGAAAAGAGATGATAAATACAGCAAATGACAAAACCGATAATGGTTAGATGAAAAAGTTTTTGGAATATTGAGTTAACTACTCGTACACACAGTGACAGATAAGTGACATAAAAGGTAGAACGGGATAAAACTAAAAGGGTGTTACTTAAAAGAAAAATACACATTTTTTAAGAAAATTAAGCTTACTATTTCCTATAGTTGCCATACAGGCTGATACATCAATTATTTCGATCTTCCAACTTAGCGATAAAAGATCGTATTTCAAAGTAGGCCTCGGCAATTCGAAGCGCAATCCATGCAGTTTTCTACCAAAATTCTGTTGTGGATTTTATAGACGTTTTCGGTTTCGCTCGTAACGTTTTCACTTAATATATGCATTTAATTTTAGAGTCATCCACTATTAGAAAAAATACCAAATATATTTTAACATTCCGCCAAAATTGCAAAACAAACCTTCGATCACAATTCAGATTTGTAGAGTATAGTAGGTAGCTCTCAATTGATATAAGGTATATAGGTATATATGTGTATATGAAATTTAAATATACATTTATTTATATAAAATATACTGAAGTTCGCAATGGTTAGGAGTAAGTATGCTTTTAAATTTACATATGTATATATACACGAGTATGATGTTAAGATTCGTACACACTAAATGAAATAGACCCCGTAACGCGACTGTCAAGTTTCTGGTTACTTTGCTATTTTCCATATAGACAATAAGTTTGTATGTATATAAGGGTGAACCAAAAGCCGTACAATTTTATTTCGCGTATCCTTTTAGAGCATATTTTCTACCTTTTACTCAAAAGTGATATTTTAAATTTAAAAATTCATCTATTTAAAAGCTTTGGAAAATGAAAATAATCAAAAAATGCAGTTCAAGATACAAAAATATAATCGAGCTGTTATAAAAAAGATTTACTCCCGCAAGTAATTCATTTAAACCCAAAAATTCGATAGAATCTTTTTTGCGTTACCCTAATGTATGTGTATGTGTATATTTTTAGTGATTTTGGAGTAACATGTAAATACAGTCGACAAAATCTCAAGAACTTATTGCATTTTTGTGGTTGAGTGACACACATGCACTCAAATAAATTAAAATTGCAAAGTAAATTCATTTCAGATGAAACGAAATCAGAATTTTAAAATTTTAGAACTGATTTAAATAAATACGAGTAAATATTTAACTGAAAATATTTTCAATTTCTTACATATTAGTAATAAGACCTACTACGAAAATTTAATTCAATAAGCATTTGAATTGATTTTCAATGTTTGAATAGATGAATTGTAAAAAAATTTAGTAAAATGACTTCGATAACCTTTGTAGTAGTTGGAGTCATATAGAGAGCTCATCAAGGTTGCAACTGTGCGTAACTTTTTTACTCGCTAATAAATCTTACTTTATCTTATGCAATTTTTTTTTTACCCCCAGCATCAATTTATCATACCTCAACCTTTCAACAAAACTTTATTTTACTAAACATAGTCGCTATATTTCAATCAACCTAAATACGCTTACTAATAGCCAGCAATGGTCACTGCTGAATTACTTTTTGTCACTGCATTTCTCTTGAAATACTCCGAAATACTTGTAAAACGAAATGGAATGGTGTCCACACTAACTATTTATCATATATATATTATATTTATGTACCTTTGCGTAGAAATATTAATATGTTTCCTTGACTAATGTAGTACCTAACACAGACTTGATTCTTATGTAATCCTTATCAATTTTAAATTTTCTCCAACCTTTAATGGAGTAAAATTTCATTATTTGTGGAAAATAATACAAGCTGCTGGTTTTGGAAATTTTAACTAAATATACGAGACCTATTTTCAAACACACTTACCTATAGAAAAATATCTTACTAACACATCATATTTCGATTTTGTTTTGCAGGTGAACACTTTGCATCCGAAACCTTTGAGACTGGCTACAAAATAACGATGCGATTAACCATAAAAGATGTTGACACAGCGGACTTTGGTTCATATCGTTGTGTGGCAAAGAATTCTCTTGGCGATACAGATGGCACAATTAAACTTTATCGTAAGTGAACAATATATATGAAAAAACAAATACTAGTAAACAAACATGTATAAAAAAGACTCGAGAATATGCGGGTGTTAAAATATACAATACAATTATTTAAATTTGACAGAGCGTTGGCTATAAACTAGGCACCATTTGCACAAAATTTATAAAATATAAATATTTATTTTCACCTTCAAAACAGGCACTTGTTATAAGTCTTCTTTTCTTTACCTTTTTTGATGTTATCATCATTAGCAGAGGTTAGATGACTCGGAAGTCTTCACGATCTTCACTGAAGGCTTTGTGCCACTCAAGTACTTGTGTTCGTGACTCCTCAAAAAACACTTCTGTAACATTTTTATGGATGATTCCATTGTAAACACAAAATTTCAAGCAAACTCATTATTACATTTTTTTTTATGATAAACATCACCAGATAAACCTTTCGCTACGTTAACAAACAGCTGCCAAAAACACACTGATTGACATATGGGGACCAAACTTCAAACGAATAGGTTGTACCAATCTGTATTATTTACCGATTTTGTTAGTGCGCGTAGTTCAAATACATCAGTTCGGGTCAAATTTGATCACAGATAAAGCCAAATTTCTGATAAAAACATTTATTTAGTTAAGATAGTCCACTTAATTGATTAAGGAATACATAAATAATAGCTCTTGTAAGTTGAGCGTTCAATTACTGCAAAGAGTAATTAATTTTATACGAGCAAGTAATCAACATTTCAAATACACAACGTTTCTGTAGTGAAAAATACCTTTGCTAGATGCGAAATATTTTAAGAAAGCTTAAATATTATTGCTTGTCATATTGCGAACATAAACATGCTATAGCCTCTAGCCTATAACCCCATCCATAGAAGGTCTGACTTGTAATGATCTATACGTGAGCGGCAGGAAAATAGACTGGTCAGTAATATTCGCCACTTCGAAATATATTAAATGCTCTATCACCTTGAGAATGATCCATTGACCTCTATTATATATGGGTTCTAGCGGGAGTATAGTAGCTGTTAGCCAACCTTGAAGCACAATTTTGCGCAATGCTACCAATTAGTATAAACTGTATTATTCAAAAATGAGAAATATACTGAGATTAGTACACTTTCGTAATACAAAACAATTATATATTAGCCAAGTCACAAGCCGAGCAATTTTTCACAAGTTGCCTTATATAATAAGGATGAAATAATATTACCAGATTTTTGTGGAAAAGAGTATGTTACACGAGCGAAAAGTCTAAGCAACATATTCGTTGTTCGCAATTATGAAACAAATGGTATACTAATGAGAAGAAAAGAATTTGACTTCTGATCTCAAAAATTGTTGAAACTTTTAGCTCGAAATATACATATTTTACGTGTCGGAATAATATAAATTACTCATAACTGCTAAAATAAATTTACTGGATAACATACTCGTTCTGCAATAAATTCTTGCGAGTTGTAGAAACCGCGGAATAATTCAGGGCCACCTTACATATATATTTACACCTACAATTATTATAGTTAATCCTTCAGAAATTAAAAATGCCTGAGTCGAAATTAGATGTTTGTAAAAATATTCTAAGTGTAGAAACATATGTACAAGAAATTACATTATGTCACTAATAATAAGTATTTACTGTATACCGTTCAATATGGTTATTGTATTCTAGACTATAAAATTGTTTAATTACAAACAAATATTTCTGAGGTAATAAATTAAATTGGTAGCACAAACTGGACAGCTAGAAGATTGTAGTGCTAACTTCAACGCAACACAAACAAATACTTAACCAGAATAACATCAACTTGTTTCTGTTTCTGCTAGCAAGCCACACTTATAAACATATAATGTATTATTTAACTATTTATTTATATGAAAGCTTGAACCTTAAGTGGCTTGAAATAGAATTTACTGTGTGAATGCTCAACAATAATAGTTTTTTACATATTTACAAACTTGGTTGTGGTTTTTGGGCAATTTTCTTTGTCTATCATCTCTATGTAGACTTACTTGACTGTGTCTTAGCTGGCAACAACCCATTAGTATTGCATAAATAATGTGGCACTAATTATAATGGAGTTGAACAGTAGTATACATATGGTATGTACAGTGAACATACATATACTCACAATCAAAGCATACTCTTAGGTGTTCAAATGCTACTTTAAACTTGTATACCTGATATGTTGGACAGGAGCCATAGCCACTTAGGTCAACACTCAAGTTGTTGTGTGGCTGGCCAATTTGAGAATTGAAGGCATGTGTTAATTATTAAGTTCGGTGTTAGTAATTAAATCAAAAGATTTCGGTTTGAAAATAATTGATATACAGGCTAGTTTCTGCACTCACCAATAAATAAATAAATATTTTAAGCTATTGCATAGCTTCTATCGCGGACATTGAGCGCGGGGACTAAATCGAGAATTTCCGTAACGGAAATAAACCTAACACGATTGCAAAGTATGCGCAAAATGTTTGCATAATTTTAGGCGTATTTTCGCATATTTCAAGCAGAACAAATAAATTGAAGAGACAGAGCAGGGTGACTCAAAAATAACCATGTTTAGGATACAATATTTTTAATGGCAAATAAAAATATGGAATTTAATAAAATATCAAAGAAGAAAAGAAACTGCAATAAAAATAAATATATAATTATAATTGCATAAGTTGATAAAAAAATGCTATCCAATAGCTTTACTGCGGCAGTTCCCAAGTGCCACACGTATTTTTCGTCGTTCAATCATGCGAAATTTTAGTTTCTGAAAACCAATTGCCAAATATATTGATAAAATAATGGAAATCATTAAGTCCGACCGTCGTGTAAGCACTGCTGTGGTTGCCTAGAAGCTAGTCATTGCACGAAAGACAGTTTGAAACCATTTTAACAAGGTTGGATACAAAAACAAACCCGCTGGATGCGTGCCACACGAGTTACCGCAAAAAACTCATGGACTAAATTTTTATCTACGTATCGCTGCTGAATCGCAACCAAATCGATTCATATCTTATGCCGATGGTTACTGGTGATGAAAAGTGGTTGACCTTCGACAACGTCAATTAAGCCATGGTCGAGTCGTAGTGAGGCGGCGTAAACGATAGTCAACACATAATTGACTGTCAGGAAAGTTTTGCTACATATTTGGTAAGATTGGGCGGGAATTATTTACTATAAACTTCTCCCCTACGGCCGAACTCTTAATTCGGAACAATCCTGGCAACAATTGAAGCATATAGAAACGACAAGCTTTGGGCAAATAGACTTTACACTAAGTGATTACTACATGAAATTTAAAAAAATCGCCACAGAGAAGCTTTTTTTGTTTTGCTGTTTCGAGAAAAAATAATGTGTGCAAAATTTTACTACGATATCTCAAAAATTGAACGCTTACTTCGCGTATATGCAGACAGACGAACATGGCTAAATCGACTCAGCTCGTCACGTTTATTATTTAGATTTATATTTTAAAGCGTCTCCGATATTTCCCTCGGAGTGTTACAAACATCTTGGCAAACTTAATATACCATGTTTAGGGTATAAAAAGAATGCATATTTTTTACTAGACCTTCTATATTAAAAGATTAAATTTGTATTAATAAAATTTAATATTAAAAAATTACTTTCCAATAAACATTTTATGTGGTACAGACGTTGATATATTTTCGCTTTATCAAAGTGAAATAAATAAAATTGTACTAATTATTAGTTAGATATATTTCCCAATTGGTTCAATTTTATTGTTGTGAGGGGGAATGAGACACTTAAACTTTCGTTTTATTTAATACTAAAATTTTTATATATCCGATTCTTGATAACTTTACTAAAAACTACTATTTCAAATATATTCAATTGAAAATATTTTTCAAAACCGAATAACAAAACATCTTAAAATCTTGCTATACATATATATGTGATTTCTATTTAATTCGTCTACTTATCTAAATACTAAAAGGGTCAACTATGCATCTTCCACTTTAAATCATATACTATGCGACACTCTACTCTTTTTCTCTCTCCTTACCTCTGCGCTATATTTCCTCTTTTTGCATTGCAGATGTTCCGCAAACAACGACCGTAACCACAGTAGCACCGACGTTGGCTTTAAATACCGTGCCAGCGGCGGTCGCGAAATACAACAACAAAGGTGCGTATAAATGCAATATACCGAAAAAAATAAAAATAAATTTACACAAACAAATATTTAAAAACAATTATTTCTTACATATAAGTTAATTTCGCTGCTTCAAAACTCTTCGCATGTCCTCTTCCTCGCAACAAGCCATACAGATAAAATAAAAGTTTTTCTGTTCAAGTGAATTCGGCATCTGTTAAGCATACAGTTATAAAATGAAGGTCTTTATGCTTCATTTAACATTTATCCTTGTATTTATCTTACCTGAGCAATGCCCTTAACTGCTTAATGCATCAACTTGCCATATTCCATAGCATTGCTACTTTTGTCGCTTAAGTTGTTGCATCCTTTATTTTTGTTGTTGTTTTGTGAGTGGTACTTTAGAATGAAAGTGCATATATGAGTATACCAATACATAAATATATCAATACGCGTATGTTACCTTTATGACATTTTATTACATACGTCTATTTTATTTCTTTACAAAATGACAACTACAACTCTAATGGGTATTTGCGTCGACAAAATAGATCAACGTTTCAGTAAAAAAGTTCACCGCACAAAATCGAATATCGCAGATATTTCATCGTCATCATCCTCGAATAATGTTTATATTGGTGCAACAGCGAGCTTATGGAATTCACACAATCACAGCACGGGGAGAGAGTATAATCAATGTGAGTAAATAAAAGAAATATTTGCAGTATATTCCTTTAGAAAGCTTTAATCACCTCATTAGCGTTATCAGGAAACGATATCAGCCTGATTGTCAAGATCTTGAGGGTATGTTCAGACTCTGCCCTTTCCCTTCCTAATGGAAATGTGCTGAGATAAAATTAGGCCAGAACAGAAACAATTCGAATTACCTTGGGTTCTGAAGGCTTCATGGTATAATTGAGCAATGCCACGGTAACGACACTTTATGACTAATGCCATGAAAAATTTCAAATATTGTTTTACCGATGTCCGTCAAGCATTAAACAAGGTCTGACATCTCCATAGGCCTAAGCTTCCAAAATTTTACTTGCATAATTAGTCGTTCTATGTCAGGTGCAACGATTCTGAGTACCGCAAGGCAGCATTTTCACACCAAATGGTACTTTGGCTTCAATATATTTTATGATCAAATGTTACCAACAAACACAGGCGCAGAATATCTGAAGCTACGATTGACTAAAGGTGTACTCGGATAGCCCACGTGAAAATCAAGAGTTACGATTTACGCAACTGTACTGGTTCCTAAGGTCAATATCTCGACTCAGTTTGAAACAAATTTTAAAATTATTTATTTTAGTGGTTGCACTTTTCTATGTAAAAAATGATATCTCCATAGCGATCAACAAGTGCCAACTGAAATGAAAACAATTATAGAACTTAGCAGTTGTTATCTCTTGCTGTCCAACTGCGGGGCAATAGTTGACAGCGTAGACTTTCGGAATCAATTGATCTCAAAGTTTGAAAATTATTTTGTTTGACCTTTTAAATCTTTTGAAAATTTGCATTAGAAGTTATGTTTAAATTTCCATATTTGAAAGAAGACAATAAGCTCTGATGTCATGTATTCCCCAAACTATTTTGACAAAAAAAAACGCATATTTTCAATGTCTTTAATTTCAATGGTTTTATACACGATTTGCACTCAACAAAAGCGCCACACTTTCAACTATGGCAATATGATAAACGATTATGCCACTTGAGGTGACACTTACTCTCGGGTGACGTTCACTTGCTCTCTTTAATAATCGTGCAGTACTCAACACTACAAGCTTACCAGCACATGCTGTTAGTTACAACTATGCCTGTCAAAATCGATCACACCGCAAAGGAGGATAAAAGTGCAGGAAATGCATTTGCATGCGGGTAATTGCAGGCGACGCACAGAGAATCAGAAAGACAGACAAACCGGAAAGCATAAAGATACGCACACAGTTAGATTGAGCACACAAATGTGAATTATAGTTTTTCATTACAAAAGCAAAAGTATATAAGCTGAGAGTGTGTCAACGTACTCCGATTGCCTTTTGTCAAAGTGGATGGGTGTGAAGCATTTTACTGCCAGTTTTCTTTTTGCAACTGCCTTCAGTCTTATATGCCTGCTATATCCTAGATGATGTGCAAATTTTGACTCTTAGTTGGCTAAGCAGTTAGGTCTCAGCAACATCCCACTGCCAATGCAAGCTAGCATATAAACACAAAAGTTGCCAATATTCTAATGTTGAAGCAATTTTTACATTCAATCGTGAAAAAAGAAAACTTTGATCGCTAGGATGACATGTATATGGTACATAGATATTTTTGCTGACAATAATATAAAATTATAAGCTCAAGAGCACGATATTTCCAGCATGTGTTCAAAAAACCAACGCGCATTTTCGTTTTTTTTTAGTATTCACTTTTTTTTTAGTATTTTGAAAAAAATTTTTTTTTGCGTTTCAGCTTCACCTTGTAAGTCCGAAATGACGTCCAATGTACTCTGCGGTACAAAGTCAGCTGGGCAACTGGTTTCAACTGCACTGAATTCGTCAAGCGCCTTTTCATCTAATCATAATTCACGTCTTTATGCGGGTTGCTTGGTATATCTCACACAAGGATTGCACATATTGCTCAGGAGGCACGAGCGTTGGCGGGTGATTCGTTATTTAATATAGTGGAGCAATCAAAGTAGTATAACATTGCCGCAGCACCATCTCAAGCGGGGACAACTTCCTATCATGTATTATTAGTATACAATATTTGAAAAGCTTGAGAGATGAAGTAAAAGAAGGTGATTAAGCAGGCTAGATCACGTCGCTGTCCAAAGCGCAAATTATTTTATGCAGTCTTAACAAATGTCACCAAGGAGAGAGGGAGGTAAATTCAATCAGAATAAGATGAAGATGAACATTTCAGAGTTGAAAACCAGTATTGCTATTATTAGAAACCATGAAATAAGAGGAATACAAAGAGATATCAGTAAGGTAATATCTCTTCAATTTTTAGAATGAGTTGCGGAGATTTAAATTTTGTTTATTTTATTTCCTACAGGACTACGTAAAGTGTTCGCTGAAATCATATGTCAACCTGGAATTATAAAAAGCGAGTTGAACAGCCAGAGCTTAGTATTTTATACGAAACTAATCAGAGATGCTGAAAATGCTACTAGCAGATACTTAGTTAAGAGTGCTTAATTATAATACAATAACTTGATTAGTTTTGGTTTTAAATCCAGACAAGCATTTTGCATAGAAAATATGTATTTATTTTTGTACTGAATTGTTATTAGAAATAAGAACGACATAGAAAATTTCAAAGTTATTTGAGTTTCAATTCAATTCCTTTCATGACGGTAAGTAAGATTTTCATTGCTGTACTAACTTGGCCATTCTGCATAGGCGCGACAGAGGTACAAACTATTTTTTGAAAATCCTTAATTATCAGCAGGGCCACGTACTTTATATACTCGTATATTAAGTTTGAAACGAAGTTTGTAACACACAAAAGGAAACATGGGAGACCCTACAAAGTATATAAATAATTGATCAGCGTGGCGAGTTGAGTCGATTTAGTAATGTATGTCCGTCTGTCTATTCGTTTGTATATATGCGAATTAGTGCCTCAGTTCTTGAGATATCAAACAGAAATGTTGCGTCCTTTCCTTACAAAGATGTTGCTCATTTGTCATGGCATATAGCTGCCATACAAACTGAACGATCGGAATCAAATGCTTGTATGAAAAGCTTCGTTATTTGCCGAGATATTTACAAGAAATTTGCCATAGATTATTATTTATTCTTTAGCTACAATATTCAAAGAAAGAAGCCATAAAAACCGACAAATCAAAATCAAAATAAGGATCATTTTATTTGCATTTATGCTATAAAAAATACCCTTGTGAAGGGTATTACAGCTCTGATGCAGCAAATGTTAACGTTTTTTTTGTTTCTAATTTAGTTTACATGTAAAATATGTTTGGCAACTATTTGCGCTCTTAATGTGTTTTTCTGGCTCGCTCAGATTGAATACTCTACAAGATGTAAGCTTTGCTATAAAGTTGTCAAAGCTCGAAAGTATGAAAGTACGTAATAACAGACACAAAAGTTAAGCTTAAAAAGCTCGAGTAGCTTTCCAAATATATTTAGTTATTTGCTTGAAGCAGAACTGCTGCTCCAACGGCAGTAAAACTGTTAGAGTTGCTATAGAACTTTTAACTTTTATCAGTTTTTGAATAACATTTTGTTTTATTTACCATCAACTTAGCTTACATTATGAAAGGAGATGTAAAGGAACAAGGAATTATATAATCTTATGAAGATCAACAATTATTGAATCTAACTTTCAAGTCCTTTAGTCCTTTAATTGTTTTTCAATTGGCCATTATTGGATTTAATGTGCAGAACTGTACAACGCTTGAAGAAAGCAATGATTGAGGAGATGCTCAATAGAAGCGATCTTTGATGAAAGCGCTGGCCTGCCGTTGAAAAGCGGTTTCTTGGTATAAAAAATATAAAAGCTTCACTTCAACTTTTATCGACGATCCTTCAATCGACCGATCAAGCGGTTGTGTTATGTAGTGCAATACTCATGCACTTTGTATTATATAAAGTACGAAGCGAGGGAATTATACTTAAAACCAATTGCTGTGAAGTAAAGTGTTTGTCCACCATGGGCTGCTGCTAACACCGGATAACTTATTTGAAATCAACATATTTACATTTGAAATTTGGCATTTATTATTGCCTTAAGCAATGGTGTAATCTCCGAAAAAAACTTTCAAATAGGATTACTATATTATATAGCTGCCATATAAACTGAATTATTAAAGTTCTTGTAAGGAGTTTTTGTATATATGAATTGTATTATAGCCTAGGTGCAACCGAAGTTAGTGGTTTTTCTGGTTGATATGCTTTCATCGCTTTTACACGGAAATGGGTATAAATAGTTTTTAGCTGTGTATTGTGGTGGACTTAAAGATCTTTGTGAATGCGCTTGTGCTTAATTTGGAACTAGTAAGGATGAAATATATTAATAATGCATACAGCGAAAACTAGTAAGAAAATAAATTAAAAAAATATTCATCAAATTTCATAAAAGTCACTAAAACTGTGAGGGGCAATTTGATTGCTGCAAAACTGTCAGATACTATTTTACATGTCTCCGACCACCTTCGTGCCAGTAGTGATCATTGTTTTTGTTGTTTCTTTGCTATACAGAAATTGTTGACACTGCGGCTGTTAAATCTAACAAACCTTCATGGCAAAACAAAGTTTATTCTGAAACCGGAATTAAACATCTAAAACCGCGATTAGCGGTTAAACGGTTAACGGCAGTGACAATAAACACAATAGTGCCATCATCAATCAAAGTAAAACCAATGCAAGCATGCATTAGTTGTAATGTCACAAGCCAATGATGCTAAAATACAAGTGTGGTTTGATAAGACTGTGCAATTTTAACAACTACCTTAATAAAATACCTTAAATCATCGCTAAAATTATAAAACCCGAATTTCTTGTGCATACGCTGCTCGACTGTTTGCATTAAAATTCTTTTAACAAGTTTAGAGTTAGTTCGCTGGACGATTTTAATATTTTAAGCTATCAAAATTTATTGTTAATTGTTTGTCTTTAGAAATTGTATAAAATTTTTCAAAAAATTGCTACTAAATTTAACTTTTCTTTGTTAAGTATATATATATGCTCTGGAAACCCTATTAAGTAAGCGGGGTCTAAGGTAAAAGTCAGCGTCGTTATCGAGACGATTTCTACCTTTGTGGTCAATTCAAAAATATATCAATAACGGATTATTGATTAGTAAGAATATGATTATTGTATAAACCAACAATATTGAAAAAAAAACATTAAAAAAATGGCGGTTTTCTCACGGCCCCCTGTAAGAAATATATTACTCCTAAAGTCATTGATCTAAAGTCATTTTAAGTCTTTTAGGTCCTGGTGAAACCGTATACATGAAACTGAATCAGTTGCTCAGTCATCAGTGGTGAAAATTCAAGCTTCATCTAAGACATACCTTCTGCTCAACGCAAAACGAGACTTTATCCATAACTCGTCAAGAACATGACATATGGCCATCCTTTTTTTTTTCTTAGGTTGGCAGGACTGTTATATGTTTACATGTCAAATTTGAGCGCGATCTGTCACATAGTTTTTTTTTTTACGGCACTATAAACAAGTCAACCTCGAGTGTGTTTTTCGAATTTTACTATGGAAATTAACGTTGAGCAAAAAGTGTTTGTTTGAAATTTTGTTATTCCAATGGAATAAGTGCGACGGACGCAATGAAAATGTTACAGAAGGCATATGGGGAGTCTTGCCTATCACGTGCACGTATTTTTGATTGGTATAAGTCGTTCAAGGACGGCCGTACATCGCTGGAGAACTTGCCCCATGATCGTCGTCCAGCAACGTCAATAAACGATGAAAACGTCGAAAAAGTAAAGAAAATTGTGTTGGAAAATCGTCGTGTGACTGAAAGAGAGATAGCTAGTGAGCTCAACATATCAAATGGATCTGCTCATAGCATTATTCACGATGTTTTGGGCATGAGACGTGTGTCTGCTCGACTTGTTCCAAAATCCAGCTCATACGTCTCGTCTTGTACGCGATTATTTGACCAAAACCAACGTAAATATTGTTCCGCAAGCACCGTATTCACCCGACATGGCACCGTGTGACTTTTTTCTTTTCCCTAAACTCAAATTGCCGCTTCGTGGACAGCATTGTCAGTCGATTGAAGTCATAAAAGAGAATTCGAAGAAGGAACTGAAAGCTATACCTAAAGCGGCCTACCAGATGTGTTAGGAAGAGTGGAAAAAAAGGTGGCATATGTGTATCGCCTCTAATGGTGACTATTTTGAAGGGAATAAAATAAATATTGAAGAATAATTAACCGTTTTTGTTGTTTGAGCCAGTCTCGTTTATATTTGAGCAGAAGGTATACCGCATTTACTTTTATTTAAGAGTTTTATTTTCTACGTGTGGTGTTGACAATACGCTTAGGTCTTAGAACAAGCGTTTTAATTTTTGATCTATTTATCAAGCAGCAGAAGACAACTCGATGAAGCTTAAAATAATAAGGGCTGGCCCTACCATATGAGCAACTAGCTTCAGCTAGGAAGAATTTAAATAAAATTTGAGTTCATTGAAAATAACCATTTACTCGTCGAGTATAAGTACCTTCGAGAATATCGCTATGCACACCAACTTTTGCGGTTTTATAATAACCTTTATGTTGTTACATATAAGTGTACATGCCGTCGTACATTTACGCTCACGTACTTGTATGGTTTAAGAGATTTTTAAATGCACTTTGACACCACACTGTACGTTTGCCACCTTCCGCTGGTTGCCTTGCAACTAGGCTTTTGTTGCAATTTCTCAAACAGCGTAAGCGAGCGAATACACATTTTTGCGGCCACGTTCTTTTTGTTTTTTGTTGTTGTTTTTAAATAATTTCCATGCTTGTTTCGTGTGTATTTGTGTTGCAGGTACCTCAACTTTAGTAGAGCATCCATCGTAATTGTACTCATACTTTTGCCATGTACTGTATGTATTTGCATGTGGTGCTTCAACAGACGGGGCTTATGCTCAAAGTTTATGTGGAAAATTTATTCTTTCTCGGGGATTTTTGCCGCTGTCGTCCTTTATTGTTGAGTGTTCAAAATTACAAGTCGTGTTGTCCCATGAGTGGCGAAATTCATTTTAAAATTTTGGGGTTTCTTTTCTAACGGTTATTATTATTATTATTATAAGTGGATACATGTATTGTATGAATTCATATCTATACCCTGAACGTACATGTACTTGTATTATGTTTGTCGGAGTCCCTATATTTATACATATAAATAAAATGAATGAAATGTCCGTCTATTCATATATATGCGAACTAGACCCTCAGTTTTTGAGATTTTGATCACGTTCGTTTCTCTAAATGAGCTTGCTATTTGGTGAGAACCCCCGATATTGGATCGCTGTAGCATTTAGCTGCCATAAAAACAGATCGAACAAAATCAAGTCCGTTTATGGAAAGCTTTGTTATTTGTCAAGTAAAATATATTTTCGAAATTTGGCAGAGTTATGGTTCAAGGCAACGCTACTATCTCCAAAAAAATTGTATAGATCCGATCATTATAGCATACAGCTGCCACTCAAACTTCAATTAAATCCTTGTTTCCTTATCAAATAATCATAATTCGACTTGATGTTGTTTATATCAAAGAACGTAGTTAGTAAGGCTATTAGCAAAACGTCTACTTTCGGATGCAAAATGTAGTAGTAGTA